ACGAGGTCATGCGCAAGGCCACCATCGCCCAGATCAGCTCCTACGGCCAGACGCCCCGCCTGCTCTTCCGCCGCGCCCACCCCGAGAAGGTGTGGCGGGAGCCCGAGCCCACCGTCTACTCGCACCCGCACCAGCTGTGGTCCTACCCGCTCCTGGTCTGCACCTTCGAGATACACCGCATCGACCTCGTCGACGGCCAGCCCATCCCCCAGCGCGCCAAGCGGGTACTTGCCCGGCTTCCTTGCCCTCAAAACCGAGTTTCCACATTTACTCACATTGTCGACACTACCGCACACACTCCATCGCACACGCACACGCACACGCACACGCACACGCACACGCACACGCACACGCACACGCACACGCTCCCGATATGTGAGAGTCTCGATGTCACCACCAATGCATGCGCGCTCTCGTTCATCTGCATCAGGCGCGCGTGCGGTACACGGCTTGCCTGGCGTGCAGTCGGCTCTACATGCCACTCAAGGCCAACCACCTGCTCTACGCGGCGTTGGGCGGCCTCGTGCGCAACCTGCGCGACAGCTCCAATCGCGGGGTGCAGCACGCCGCAGCGCAAGCGCTCACCGGCCTCTTGAGCACCCAGAATCCTGTGGCAGATCGGGACCAGCTCGACGCGGAGGTCGAGAAGGTGGTCGAAGCGTGTGCGCACGCCATTCGAGACCAGGTACGACGCGACCACAACATCACACCGCCCCGCGTGTGGTTAGAGAGCTCTCTTTCATCGTTGGTGTGTGTGTCGTGTGCCTGAAATGTATAGCAAGCAATGGGGGACGAGCCAATCGCGAGTATAGTGAGACTACTCGCCATTGACGGCATTTTCAGCGGCTGGGTTGTCGGATGTATGCAACACGCACACGCACACGCACACACACACATACACACACACACGCACACACACGCACACACACACACACGCACACGCACACACACACGCACACACACAACACACACGCACACACACACACACACACACACACACGCACACACGGCACACACACACACGCACACACGGCACACGCACACGCACACACATACACACACACACGCACACATACACACGCACACAACACACACACACACACACACACACACGCACACACGGCACACGCACACACGGCACACGCACACACGAGCTTTTGACACTCGCATTAATGCGCCTGCTCAGCGTTCCACAAGGAGATGTTAGGAACGACTTTCGATCAGCGGGTGGCGGAGAAGAACAAGGCGCGCATCGAGCGCTATCTGCCCCTCATGCTCGACACCATCGCCACCTGCGCCCACGCGCTGCCCCTCCAGATCTTCTTCCTCTTCGTACACCGCGCCATGCCTGTCTGTACAGCCCCCAACCACCACCATCGCATTCGCCGTGACCACTCTGGAATGCAGGCGCTGGAATTACTGACGTGTTTGTCATTCCACACCGACACAGTGAGGGACGATTTGAAGGCGCTCGTGGTGAACAAGTGCTACCGACTGCTGCGTTCGGCGAGCGCTCGGCCGCAGTCGCCCGGCGATTCGTATTGCGCGGTATTTGGAACCTTTCCAGCTTCTTCGGTTCAAACTTGACTGAATCATGAAGGCATCTTCTTTGTCGCGTTTGTTGTCGTGTCGGCCGGTTACCATCAGTTACGGGCGGCGCTGCTCATCATCGTGTGCGAGGTGGGAGCTGCACCGCTTCCGCCCTCGATCACCGCCGAAGACCTGACCGACACTCTCCACGTATGTGCCCCTTCGCCCCCGTTCCTGCGTCGGTCAGCAGCTCATTTCTTTTTTGTTTTCCGTTTTCGTTTTGTTGTTGTGGGCGCCCTGCAGGAGTCGATCGAAGAATGCACACGCGACGGCCAACAGCTTCCCGCCACCAAGACCACCGTACCTCTCCCTACCATTCTATAATTTCTGGAATCTAAGCTGAAAAGTGCTGACGCCTCGACACACACACGACACACACGACACACACGACACACAGTTGGCGTTGGCGTGCGCGATGTTCTACGAGCGGCTTTCGCCTCACCACCTGATCCTAGTGCAACACTTCACGACGCACCATGAACTCATCTTCAAGCTCTTCTCGCTCTGCTTCGTATATCCCGCCGCACACGCACCACCGCACACGCACCGATGCATGGCTTGCTGACGACGTGGTGCGGGCTGGGAGCAGCAAGGGCCGTGGGAAGCCAACATGCATGCCAAGCACTTCTTGGAGCACCTGGCCAACACCTCGCCTCTGGTACTGGCGCCGCACGTGGAGCAGGTGCTCACCATCGTGCACGAATCGTGGCAGCAGAAGCCCTATCTCAGCCTCGCCCTCCTCGCCGCCCTCGGTATCCCCATCATTCCACACATTCCGTGCGTCGACATCAATCACTCACCGCGCACATCGCACACACCGCACACATCGCACACATCGCACACATCGCACACACTAGCTGTGCTGATGCTTCAGTTCCCGGGGAGGACGCGCGAGTTCATGGAGACCAAGCTGCTGCCGCACATCATCAAGCAGGACACGCTCAACGACTGCCCGTCGCCGCTGCTCATCATGGCGGCTGCCCATGCGCCGGTCATCGCCGCTGCGCCGGGCGCGTTCACCGCGCGGTCGGTGGTGATGGCCGTGCGCATGCTGCCGCAGCTCCTGCGCCCGAGCGCCTGGGGCGGCGCCAACCGTGCGCACTACCGCGAGGCCGCAGTGCGCGGCGGCGTCCACCTCCTCACCGCACTGCTCGACGAAAACGAAACGAAAGCGAAAGCGCCGTCTTCGTTCTTGCGACAAGAGCGAAGGTGAGCAAGGAGCAGGCCGTGATGATGGTCGAGGCCCTGGTCGGGCTGGCCAAGCAGCAGCTGTCGACCACCACCGACCATGCCAGTGGCCAGGGCGACGGCGAAGAAGAGGAGGCGAAGAATCGGGGCCGGGAGGTGTCGGCCTTGCGCGACGTGGCCCGTCAACTGGTGGCCCACATCCTGCCGCCGCCGCTACCGTCGATTGATGAGGACCTGACGGCCGAAGACGAAGGGTGGAGAGGTGCGCTGCGTGGGGTACTCTCGGGCGCTCCGGCGCAGGTCATCGACGACCTGGGCCTGGCTTGCTTGCTCGACGCCTGCGTGCAAGTGTAACGTGTAGGTGGTGCGCGTTGGACTCGTTATCGCGACCCGCAAACACGTTCTTAGGCGCACGCCAGCGTGGTTGACATCACTATTTTCCAGTCCATCTCGCGTAGTGGCACGCATGCGAGGGATGTGGCGCCTTTACATTACAGGCCTGAACGATTGATTCGGTGGCTCGAATTGACTAGTTGAGGCACTGTGTAACACCAAGCACCAACCGGTCCGACAGAATAAAACCGAGGCCAAACGGTGCATTTACGCCAACCAACCAACAACAAACAACAGAATCCAAACCTAACGTAAGCAACAACCAACATGGAGAACCGAGGTCGAGGAAGGGGAAGGGGACGTGGACGTGGCAGAGGAGGCTGCAGAGGAGGAAGGCGCAATGACGCCAGCCTCGGCCGAGGCGTCCCCTTCATATCGGCCCTGGCCGTGGATCCGCATGACCAGCCCAGGCGTGACCCCGAGCCCCTCCTGGCCCAGTTCATGGACCCGTACGCCCCACATACATCCCAGCATCTCAAAAATTTTTTTTTCTCAACACACACACAGCCTTGCTTCCTTCAACAGAGAGGAAGAAATGGCCCGCGCCCTGCTGGGGGATCGCGTCTAGGTCCGTCCAGTTTGGTTGGTCAACAAACACAAGTGTGCTTCCACTCCATCGTTCTCTCTGATGTAGCAGAAAAATAAAAACAACACACTTGCACATCAAATCCCGAGGAATGCACAGATAAAGTTGAACTTCATAATTTGCAATACTGAGAATCTTGGCTTCCCTCGCCCTGGAAGAGCCGGCGCGGCGCCTGCTCGACGTGGGTCTCGACCAACCCCAGCAGGACGTCATCAACAAACTGTACCGCCCGGCGGTCGCTGTGGAGGTCGATGGGCGGTCGGTAGGGCGAAAGGTAGCGCACCTTCTTGATGCCCATCGCCCTGACGAGCCCCGAGCACTGGATGCAGGGCGAGTGCGTCGAGTAGAGCTCGCACTGCGATACGTCGTCGATGCAGCGGAACAGAAGCAAGTTCTGCTCGGCGTGCACGACCCACTTGCCCTTGTCGCCGTCGCCCTGCACAAAGTCGCGGTGCAGCGAGTCCTTCTTCGGCCCGTTGTAGCCCACACCAAAGATCTCGATCGTGAACTGCATTATGCAAAAAAATACCATCAGCAAAATATAAAAATAACAGTGGTTTGGAAAAGATGGTTGGAATTACCTGTTCTTCGGGCGGCTCGTCGTAATCTTGTTCTTCGTCTTCTTCTTCTTCGAGGTAACTTTTTTTCAAAGCTTGTCCGGTCTGTTTCCATTTCTGGCTCTGTCGCGTCGGCCCAGACTCGCTTCTTCTTTGCGGGCGAACGCTCGTAGTCGTACGCTTGGGCGCGTTTCGCCTCCTCCTCCTCCTCCTCTCGCCACTTCTTGGGAAAGTTGCAGGCCACGGCCTGTGGTGTTTTCTCTTGGGGGATCAATGTCCTGGCCAACACGGCGCCGACCTTGACACTCTCGTCCTGGGATCGCAGACTGGCGAGGATGCCCAGCCCCATCAGCCAGGCCGTCGCGCTTCTGCAGCACGCGACACGTGGAAACGTTAATCAGAAGAGCGAAAACGAAGAAGAGCAGAAAGCAAAGAGCGAAGAACGAAGGTTCAAGACGAGACGAGACGGCATATACCTTTCTTTCTCCCTCTTGGTCTGTGCCTTGTTGAGTGCACCGTTCTTGTCGATTGAGATGAACGCGCCGTTGTAGTAGTTGAAGAGCTTATCAAAGACATCCTGATGAAAGCGAGGCAGATCCAGCGTTGAAAAGGCAGTGTTGCCGCGCTGCAGTAGTCGGTTGAGAAACGTCTGCGAGAGTGTCAACAAAGGTAAAACAATTCGAGTAAATAATAATAATAAATACATATATAATAATAAATAATAATATATAAATAAATAGTACATACAGTTCGCTCTTCGATGTTGGGCTTGTGGGCCTCGGTGCTGGGCTTGTATGGTTCTTCCTCGCAGTACTCACGCTCGTCCGGCCTGATCCACGAACGATCATCAGGGCTCGTGGTGGTGCCACTCACCATCCACTGCTCCATGTCCACGACTTTACCACTCTTAAGAAGGACCGCCTTGTAGACTTGTACAAGAACCCAAGCAGGTGTAAGTGGTGTCACATCATTGAATGGAAAGGAAAGCTTGTAAATGGCGTACCTCCAGGCCCTGCCGGCACCTTGAACGCCACGTCGAAGTAGTGCTCTCTCGAATGCTCCCTCGGACCCAGTTCCAGCTCTTCTCCGTCCTCCTCGCCAAGCCACAGCTTGTAGACCCGCACCTGGAACTTGTCGCCTTGCTGCTTCTTGCTCATAGGCCTGCCGTACTCGTCGTAACACGCCACCGTGATTGTTTCCACCGTGCCCGCTGCAGTGTGCCTGCACACAAGGTGCGATCTGGTGTTGTGTCATTTATTTAGCATTTGTTTTAAAAAAAGGAATAATAAAATAATAAAATAAATAATCAACAAAAGATACTAAAATGGCCAAAGTTGTCAGAAGAACCTGAGCTCGGGCACGATGATGCGTCGCACGCCGCGTTGGATCATGAGCTTGGTGCAGAACGAGCAGGGCCGCTTGGAGAGGCAGATGGTGCCCCCGCTGGCCTGCTGCGGGAATCGGGTGCAGAGGTAGGCCGCCGCGTGGGTGGCGCCGCTGCCCGCCACGGACAAGATCATGTCGTTGCTGTCCAGGAGCGCCGCGCCCGTATCCTCGTCGGGTACAATCTTGTCTTCTGCTTTCGGCGCCATCCCCCCCTTTTCTTTCGCGTCTTGATCTATTAATCTATCTACTTCAGCTTTGTGTCTCGCGGTCCGTCGGGCCAGCGCCTCGCGTTGGCAGAGGCTGTCGGGCTTGTTCTGCGCCCACATGGCCATGAGGAGGGCAATCTGCTCCTTGGTCGGGCGCGTAGCGGCCTGGGGTCGGGAGTCCTCCCGGAGACTTTTCGGGACACCTCGAGATGGTGAAGGAGTGCTTTGCATTTGTGTAGAAGAGGAAGAATAGCGCGCCTGATGTGTCCGTTCACCAAAGATGCACCGGCCTGGTGCGTCTTGATGTTTGTTTTTCTTTATTTTATCTTTTTTGTTTTATTATATTTCATTTTATTGACGCGAACTTTTGGCGCGAAAAGTAGAAAACACAAAGTGTTTGAAACACAACTGGCCAAATTCGAAAAGCGGCCAACATGGAACCATTCGTGTCTCTCAAGCGAAAAGCGCCCGAACCTCAGCAGTGTGTACCTACGCAGCCTGTTGCACCCCTGGTACAAATCACATTCCCGAACTTTCATCAATTCATGATTTCCAATTACTTGGACATCACCACCAGTTGCAATCCGTGCGGCCGCCCTCGCTGGCGCAGATGATGGAACGCGAGCGGAGGGGGCGGGGCACTCCCGTGCGGAGTTCGCTGCCCGGGAATCACAACCTCTCCTCACTGCTGCGCGACCTCAGCCCCGGAAAGACTGGTACCAGCGCCATCGGCAGCCTCAGCAGCCGCGTCGGCGGCGCACTATCACCACCGGTGAAGCGCCAGCGAATCGAAGCCACAGCGGGCCAGTCCCTGGGCGGCGGCTACGTCTTTGGCAAGGCCTCAACCACTACGACCACTTCAACTACCACGACCACGACCACGACCACGACCACCACCCGGACACCCGCCGTCACGCTCAAGCGGATGGTGGGCAACGCCATGGCCGGTCGTGGCATCACCCCGGCCGAGCGCTCCGCCGTACCGTTTGGCGGGGCCAGTGGTGGTGGAGGCGGCGGCGGCAAGTGCTTCAAGTGCAACAACACGGGGCATTGGGCGGCCCAGTGCCCGGGCTCGGCGACCCCGGGCGCTGGCGGCACCGCCACCCGAGGCGTGGCGACCCTGGCCGGAAGCCGCGGCGGCCGCGGAGGGTTCGGCCGAGGCCGAGGCCGAACTGGCGGTGGCGGGCCGGGAGCGTTTGCGAGAGGGCCGCCATCGATGGGAGGTGGTTCGGCGGGCGGGGCGACGCCCCGCGGAGCGCCGCCGTCAGTCGAGTCGCTGATGGCCAAGGTGGGCGCCAAACTGAGCCCCGACCAAGCGCGCGGCCTGGCGCTCGCGCTCCGGGGCAATTCCCTCTTCTTCACCGGTAGCGCAGGTGCGCGAGTGTTTGTGTTTGTGGTGTGTTGTGTGTGGTGTGTGTTGTGTGTGTGTGTGTGTGTGTTGTGTGTGTGTACGCGCGGTCCGGTGCGTGCGTGTGCGGCCTTGGGGTCACGACCTCAACTGCCCAGCTCCCCCTTTTTTGGCTTCGAAGGAACGGGCAAGTCACTGTTGTTGCGAGAGATGGTGCGACTCCTGCGCGAGATTCATGGCGACGACGCCGTCCACGTGACGGCCTCCACAGGCCTGGCTGCCTGCAACATCGGTGGCTGCACGGTATTCTCTTTCGCTTCTCTCTTTTTCGCTTTCTCTCTTTTCCATTTTCTCCGCTGCACCACTCAGTGTCACTGACTGCGTTGGTTGCCACCAACAGTTGCATTCGTACGCCGGGGTGGGGCTGGGCGAGCAGAGCCAGGAGGTGCTCGTCACCAAAGTCCTGTCCACCAAGCGCTCCCGCGACCGCTGGGTGAGCACCAAAGTGCTCATCATCGATGAAGTGGTAAGCTACTTCTTCTTCTCCTCCTCCTCCTCCATCTTCTTCTTTCTATTCTGTGTCGTGTGTGTTTCATGTGTCGTGTGTCGTGTCGTGTGTCGTGCCATCACCATTGTGCTACTGCAGAGAGTTTAACGAGCAACGTGTGATGGGCAGAGCATGCTGGAGGGTACGCTCTTTGACAAGCTCGAGTATGTGGCCCGAAAGGTGCGGAACTACGACGCTCCCTTCGGCGGCATCCAGCTCATCCTCTCTGGCGACTTCCTCCAGGTTCCCAACCAAACACACAACGCCCACCACCGCCCCAACGCCCGCGGCCGCCAAACCTCACTCTGACGCAAAACGCAACACACACAGTTGCCGCCGGTGCAGACCAAGTTCTTCTGCTTTGAGTCGGCGGCGTGGAAGAAGGTGGTGCGGGAGGTGATCGTGCTCACCCACGTCTTCCGCCAATCGGACAACGCCTTCGTCGCCCTCCTCAACGATCTCAGGTTGTTCACCCCCCCCCCCCAATCTCCCCTCTCTCACCTCACCCCTCGCCGTAGTTCTGGGCGGCCTCATAGCGCTCGGAGCGCTCACCCACCCTTTTGGTATCGACACAATGTGGTGTGTGGCCGCACGACAGAGTGGGCAAGGTCACTGAAGAGGGCCGGAGCATGCTGGCCCGCTGCATGATCCCCTATCACGACCGCGCGCGTTCGATACACCGCGGCGTACAGAGCCCCCCCACTCCTCCCCATCATTACCTCAGTATTATTCTTTTCGTTGGGCGATCAATCCTAAATGTCTGGTCTATTGGGCGGCACGGGCAGGATGATCGGATTCAGGCCACCTTGCTCTACCCGCACCGAAGAGACGTGGACGGCGAGAACACCAAGCGACTGGCCGAGCTCGCCGGCACATCGGTACGCCACCGCCTTAATAACTCAATCAAGACACGCATCACACACACTCACACGCACACACTCAGACACACACACAACACAACACTACACACGGTTGGCCGGGGCTCACGTGTGTGGGTGGATGATGTGCTTAGAGGGTGTATCGGGCGGTGGACAGCGGGGTGGAGCCCTACCGCTCGATGCTGGCGCGCAACTGCTCCGCGCCCGACGTGCTCGAGCTCAAGCTCAACGCCCAGGTCATCCTGCTCAAGAACCTCGACTCTGCGCTCGAGCTCGGTGCGTGGCGAGTTGCCCCGCCACCTTAATAGCCACCACCGCCGCCACCTTAAAAATAACATTTTTATTCGTGTGTGGTGTGTTGTGTTGTGTGCGCGTAGTGAATGGGGCGCGAGGGGTAGTGGTCGATTTCAAGAAGCCGGTCAAGCAGGACAACAAGGAGGAGAGCTACGACGAGTCCAAGGAGTACCCGGAGGTGCTCTTCACCTCGGGCGTCCGCCGCCTCATCACCCCCGAGGAATGGAACATCGGAGGTACGTCTCACATGCATTTATATAATATTTTTATTTATATTTGGAAGTTTCTTAATTATTTTTATTAAAATGCATCAGTGGCGGGCGAGCCGCAGGCGTGGCGAGTGCAGTGCCCGCTGGCGCTGGCGTGGGCTCTCTCCATCCACAAGGCGCAAGGTACTCACGTGTTGCGCCAGGTCGCAGGCGGGTTGTGGGGTGGTCTAAGAAGTGGCCTTGTGGTTGTGGCTGCACAGGTATGAGCATCAGCAAGGTGCAGATGGATCTGGGCAAAGTCTGGGAATACGGCCAGGGCTATGTGGGTACTTGTCATCGTCCACAACTCTTATCTCCAGTACTTGTGAGAATGCGGGATGTGATGTGTGTGTGCACAACAAACTCATCATCCACTGGCGGTGTCAATGATTGGTCGGCCGTGCAGCGCTGTCGCGGGCGACGAGTCTGGATGGCCTCTACATCATGGACCTCAACGAAAAGGGCATCACGGCGCACCCCAAAGTGCTCCAATTCTACGCCGACATGGAAGCGCAGCAGCAGCAGGAGCGCGACGAGGGCCGACGCGTGTGAGCTCCAGCCTATTATATTTTTCTGGCTCTTTTCTGTCCCTAGGGATTACCGGTTCCGCAACAAGTGATGGGTGCTGAAGGCGAGACCGACACTCCGCCGGAGAGACTCTCCGCTCCACCCCCTCGACGAGGAATAGGGCTGTCGCGCAACCACGGACAGCTCTCCCGGGCCATCAGTGCCGGGTAAGGCAAAAGTTTGCGCGGTGAGTTCAAACGTGCGAAATTCCAGAGCTAATCCAGGGTGAGGACTTCCCCGCGTGCTCCGGTGCTGGCCAATAGGACTGTAGATGGCCACGCGCAACACGCTTGTTGTGCCGTCCTGCATTCACGGATCAAATCCACAACCATGGCCCACCACCAGCAGCAGCTGCGTCCTTCGCACCAAGACGAGCCGATAAGATCGATTCACAACTCAGAGATGCAATTTAAGTCGTTGCTGGCGGAGAGACGCGAGGAGGAATACGAGAACGCCAAAGCCAAGGGGGACGAGGAGGACGAGGACGAGGAGGAGAAAGTGGCGACGCCCAACCAAGGGGCAGACCACAGTGTGCAGTTCTACGAAGACGCCGAGTTCCTGTGCCGCGCAGTCGGGCGCTTCGCCGCAAGGGGTCTCCGACAAGGCGAGGCTGTCATCGTGGTGGCCCGCCGCCCGCATCTCGAGGGCATCGAGCGGGTCCTGGAGGCGCGCGGGATCGACCTGGCGGCCTGCCGTGCCCGTGGCCAACTGTCCACGCCCGACGCCGATGCCCTGCTGGCCCAGTTCATGGTGGACACCACCGCTACCGATGCGGTGTCGACCACCATGCCAGACCCGGAACTCTTCCTGTCGAGCGTCGGGTCGCTCGTAAAAGCACACCTCGCCCGCTTCCCGCGCCTTCGTACGGTCGTCTCCTTCTCCTCCTCCCGTCCATCATCTTTTGCTCACCAGGTTTTTTGTTTGTTTTTAATTTTTTTGTTGCGTTTCGTTTCGTTTCGTTTCGTTTCGTTTCGTTTCGTTTCGTTTCGTTTCGTTTCGTTTCGTTTCGTTTCGTTTTTGTGGAGCAGGCGTCTTTGGCGAGATGGTCGACATACTGTGCTCGTCGGGTAGCCCGGCGGCCGCAGTCCGACTCGAAGAACTGTGGAACGACCTGGCTGCTGGCCAACAGCGACAAGGGCGGCCGTTCAGCCTTCTGTGCGGCTACGCCCTCGGCCAGTTTGGGCGCGAGGAGCACACGCGCGTGTTCCGCGACGTGTGCGCCGCACACGCACGCGTGGTGCCGTCCGAGAGCTACCAGGCGTTGCGCGAGGACCGCGACAACCAGGAGCGCCTTATCGCGGGCCTCCAGCAGCAGGCGCTCGCCCTCCAGGCCGAGGTGGCCCACCGCCGCGCCGTCGAGGCCCAGCTTCACCAGGCCAAGGAGGCCGCCGAGGCCGCCAACCGCGCCAAGAGCATGTTTCTCGCCATCATCAGTCACGAGCTGCGCACGCCGCTCACCGCCATCGTGGGCTATGCCGAGCTCATGCTCGCCCCGGCCGAGAAAGGCGAGACGAGCGCAGGTGAGAGGCAGGAGACGTTGGAGGTGATTCTGCGCAACGGGCGCGAGCTGGTGCGGCTGCTCAACGACGTGCTCGACCTGTCCAAGATGGAGGCCGGCTTGCTTCAGGTCGAGCGCGTGCCGTTCAAGCCGGCCGACCTGGTGGCCGACGTGATGCACGTGTTGCGCCTGCAGGCCGCCGAGAAGCGGCTGCGCGTGCGGGTCGAGGTCGGGCGCGACGTGCCGGCGCGAGTGTCGGGCGACCCGACGCGGCTGCGCCAGATCCTGCTCAACATCGTGGGCAACGCGCTCAAGTTCACCCCGGCCGGTGGCACCGTCGACGTCGAGTTCCGCATGCTTGGCCACACCACGCTTTCGCCGTCACCATCAACTTCGCCACCAGCATCGTCGCTCGCGGCAGGAGCCTCACTGCTCGAGTGCACGGTGCGGGACACCGGGTGCGGCATGACGCCCGAGCACGCGCAGCACCTGTTTCAGCCCTTCTCGCAGGGCCCCGACTCGTCGATGTCGCGCCAATACGGCGGCACGGGTCTCGGCCTGTTTCTGTCACGCCAGCTGGCTCGCCTCCTCGGCGGCGACCTCGTGCTCGCGCACACCGCGCCCGGCCACGGGGCCACATTCGTCGCCACCGTGCAGGCCGACGCCGACCCGGTGCTGCCCGACGACCACGAGCACCACCCACACCAGGCACAAGCCGCCGCCGTGACGGCATTGCCACTGTCTCAGCCGGCCGGCTCGGCGTCGCTGTCTTTTGAGAGCATAGACCGCGCGTCGATCTCGGTTCTCGTGGTGGACGACAACGCAGTCAATCGGCGCTTGGTGCAGCGGGTGCTCGAGCGCCTGGGCTACGTGGACGTGGCCACCGCGGCCGACGGCCTCCAGGCGCTCAACCACATGGCGGAGCGTCACAGCGATCTCGTGCTGATGGACCTGCAGATGCCCATGATGGACGGCCACTCCGCGTGCCAGGCCATCCGCAAGATCTACGAGGACCAGCAGCGCGCCCAGCAGCCCGTCATCATCGGTACCGATCCCTGCATGAACGCCCGCTTCTGTAGCCTTGGCGCCCTTTTCTTTGCTCACGCGCTCCCTCCCTCTTCTTTTCTTCGGCCTTCCTGACGGCAGCTCTGACGGCACAAGCGCTGAGTGACGAGCGAGACCGATGCGTGGCGTCAGGCATGGACGACTTTGTGAGCAAGCCCTTCGACTTCAAGGTCCTCACTCACAAGCTTGCTCACTGGGCCTCTATCATCGTGGAGCGTCGCCTGCAGTCCGTCTCATATTCAAATTGATTCAAAGAAATGGCACAGCGATGTTGTGTAAAATCCTTAATATGAAGAGGGTGTACACTGTTAGTTTACTTGGGGAGAAAGAGAGGAGAACACTATATTTTAGTGTGTAATGTATGATAAGAATAAAACAAGGAGGTTTGTCCTTTTCAACATACAAGTGTGAATGTGAGGTGGTTTCATGAAAGGGGTGCCCTGCACTGACTTGGTCCAATCACAGTTGGGCAGGGCGACGACGACAAAGGCCAGGTGCGCAGAACGTGTTCATTTTCCGTTGCATCGACGACGCCTCGGTGTGCGAGCTCTACTCGACGCACTCGCCCTGCATCCAGTGCTCGGGGCTCACCAGGCCGATGGGCATCAAGAAGGTGCGCTACCTGTCGCCCTTGGGCGCTACTTTTGCGTCATCGTCGTTTTGGACTTCACCTCCTTGTAAACGATCTTTGGAGCTACTGAGGCGCGGTCCACCAGCAGGGCGTGGGTCATCTCTTCCTCTCTTCTGTGTGGGTGGCTCATCAGGGGCTGATGATTCGGTTGAGGGTGCACAGTCCAGAAACTTGGAGCTCCAAGAAGAGTTGTATGTGCACTGAGATTGCTCAAATAGATGGACATAGAGGAGGTTCAACGTCAGCAGTGGTGCACGAAGACCGTGCGCTTCACAGCTGATCGGCAGATTGGGCATGCCTTCAGCTGCTTGCCGCACCTGTGATGAAAGGAGACGGTGTCAGCAATTTCGATCTAGCCAAGAAAACAGGGCATCGTACTCATCGCAGCAGGCCATGTGCTGGCACGGCAGGAAGACAGTCTCTCTGGGCTTGTCCAAGCATACTGTACATTCCGGTCTCGCGTCCTGCTCTTTCTCCTTGGCCTGGAGCACAGCCTTCACGTTCTTCCGCCCTGTGCAGAAGCGAACCCGATGAGACAACGACTTGTGTATGAAAGCTTGAGTACCTTGCTTGAGGGCTTCGTCGATGAGCTTGAGCTCGTCGATGGAACAGGAACTTAGGCTCGCCTTCTCGCCCTTGTATTTCTTCAGCTCCGCCACCTCCCTTTCAAGCTCGTCCCCGCGTTGGACCGCCTTCTTCTCTGCCGTGAGCACGCTCTCCAGCAGCTGATTTCGAGCGAGAGGGCCACAAGTAAGCAGTCTGTTCGCTCCTCTAAGGCCTCAAGTGGCTCAAGCTTCTTTATCGGTCGCTACTTACCTGCTCGGCCCTGTCGGCCCGATCCCTGGCCTCGTTGGCCTCTGCCTCGTAGGTCGCCCACTGCGCGTGCCTGTCGCTGCAAGGCCCTTCAGCCGCGGTGTTCGTACTCTCTGCTCTAGGTTGGATCTGTTGAAGATGGCGCTGGTAGGCGGCGCGGGTGATTCTCGAGAACTGGCCCTGCACTTCGGTGGGCACCTGCGGCGTCGCGGTGGTCGTCGACCAGGTCCCGCCGAAGGGCTGCTGGGCGAAGGGGCCGGCCCAGACAGGGGGCTGCTGCTGCTGCTGGGTAGTGGTAGGGCCTGCACTACTCTGTGCAGGCCAGAAGGCGCTACCTTGCGAAGGCCCCGTCCGCAACGAGCCCTCCGCCACTGGCCCAACGGGATCTATAGGGAAGACGAAGCCTCTCTCGAACGGCTGCGATGACCTGTAGCCTGGAGGCGGCTGGAACGGAAAGGGTGCTTCTCCGAAATGGTTGTTGGGGCGTTCTAAAGAAGAGAAGGGAATAAGTAGAAGGAGACGATCGAATTAGTATGCAAGACTTGCAGCAAGCCTTAGTGCCCCTTTCTTTTGTCCTCTACATCTATCATCTCGTTTTCCATTTACTTGCTGGCAAAGAGGCAAGCGTACCCATATGATGAAGTAAGTCCTGCTTCGTATGCTCTCGTAACAGCGATGCTGCGTCGGTTGTTGGCAAGGCTTCTTCTAACGACGGTGAGGTTCTACAAGACTGCCGTCCCCTGCCTTCTGGCGCGAAACCGAATTTGAATTCTTTTTCGGTGTTTTGTGGATGATTTTCCTTATTTAGACCCTCGAGGGGGTTGTGCGTACATACTGCCGGCCCATCACACGACGTGCTTCGACGCTTCGTGGTGAAGCCGCGCCAGCTCCTGCACGATCAGCCGCACGAGCTCCTCCGGCAACCGCAACCCCTCGGATTGCCGTCGTACGAGCATGAGGAGGACCATCGCGTCGCGCCGCAGCGCCGGCGGCAGCCACGGGTGGTCGCGCTCGTGCCACACGTAGCGCCCGTCCGTCGCGTGGAAGCGGGTCAGCGCCCGGGCCTTGGCCTCGACCAGCCGACGCCGCGCCTGCTCGGCCTCCTCCTCGGTCATGACTGGAGGGAGCGGCTCAGCCGGCTCGGCCCGGCGCAGGACGCCCAGACGCCGAAACAGGGCCACGCCATCAAGACCGGGCCTGGGCGGATCGGTGCGGGTTTGCCCGGCTAGGCGCCGTCGCTCGAGCAGAGCGCGACCGCTCCACTCCTCGGGCTGGTAGCCAACGACGCCGAACAGCGGCGACCAGGGCCGGGCCAGGCGGAGCTGCCGATGCACGAGCTCGACCACGTCCAGGAACGAACGCTGCGGCGACCAGTACTGCCTCGATTCCTCCACCTCGGCCTTCCACCCCTCACCCGCGCCGCTCTCCGCGGTGGCCTCGGTGGCTTCCGGCAGCGGCGGCGGCGGTGTCAAGGAGAGTACGGTGATGGCGCCGTTGGCCTTGACCGTCGGGTGGTAGATAGGGGTGCGCATGCGCAGGCGCGGAGGGTCGAAGGGGTAGTTCTCCGGCATCTCCACCTCAACCACAAACTTTCCGCCTGTGTGCGTGTGTGGTCGTGCGTGCGTGTGTCGTGTGCGTGTGCGGTGGTGCGTGTCAGGGGCTGCGATCAAGAGAACAACGCAGCCTGGAATGGAGGACCTTGGTAGGGCGTGCCCTCGAAGACCAGGAGAGTGACGTGGAAGACGGACGGCAAGTCGCCCTGGGCCTTGGTGGGGTCCGGCCCTATGTCGAACCACCGCACGCCGACGTCGGCGCCACCGCCATTCAGCCTGCGGGCCACGTCTGCCTTGGCGCGCCGTGCTGCAATGCTCCCGGCCGCGAGCTTTGCAGGCGTCGTCATGGCCTGGTCCCACACGCACGCGTGGATGGCCATCACCAGGAGCTTCGCCTCCAGGTCCTCCCACTCTTCTGTGTCGGTGGTGGTCGTCGTCGAGTCGACAGAGCCGGACTGGTCACGACTACCACTACTGCTGGCGGCAGCGGCGGGCACGATGCCGCACTGGGCGAGGGTGAGGTGGTCTTGGTCGGGGCCGAGATGGCGGCCACCGCAGATGAAGCGCTGCTGCCGCTCGGGGAGGTGCGGCAGAGCGAGTCGCACGCGCGCCTTCGTGTGGCCCACGGTGTCGTCGGGGTGCACGGGTGCGAGCACGACGGGAGTGCCGCCCAACAGAGGCTTGACCGTCAAGCGCAAGCGGCGGGGTTGAGGATGTGTTGTTATGCGTAGGTCGTCCTCCATCTTTTGGGCAGAATCGAAAGGGCTTCACGATTTCACATAAGGCAGCAAATTGTCATGAGATGGAGCATTGATTCGTGGATTGGGAGTACTGAGCAGCTTCTATGAATCTTGAAAAAGTGAGAACTTGAATTTACAGCAGAGCCGTCGGCCGAGTCAGGCTGACGTGGCAAGCGATCGAATTTTTACCACGCTTCACTCTTCTTCCATCTCACGCGCCCTCTTCTTGTTGTTGGCAACTACCTGGAAGTCGTTGTCCTCTTCCACGTCGTGCCAAAGGTCCTCTTGCGCTTCTTCCTCCTCCTCCTCCTCCTCCTCCTCGTCTATATCCACGTCGTCGTCGTCGAGGAGAATGACCCGCTGCGATGCCACCATCGGTGCTGCGCGCTCGCGCTGGAGCGACTTGGCGTAGGAGGCCACCTCGTCGAGGATGAACCATCGCACCACCTGGGCGTGCATGTTGTACTTGGTCAGCCGACGTAGCGGCGACGCCACCAGCTCCTCGTCCTTCAGCCCAAACCGCTTCGAGGCTCGCGTCCTATGCCCACAAGCCAACTCAAGATCAGCACGCACACGCACACACACACACACACACGCGACAGAAACGAAAGGAATGTGCAAGACCGTGTTACCTGGAGATGAGTGAGGGGCAGTAGGGACTGTTTTCGCATTCATCACACACAATGCAACCCAACAGACGCCCGGCCGTGCCATTGGTCTGCCGCTTTCCGCAATACGTGCACCTGCCCACGCGCTCGCGTCGTGAGCGCTCCTGTGGAATGCAACACACACGCATCCCTTGGGGTGAGAGCCGGTTACCGGAAGAAGCACATGGCGTTGGTGGTGGCTAGCGCCTCCTTCCACGACGCAAACCGGCTGGGCAGGGCATCCCACGCGGCCTCCTCCACAGAGTACACCAGCGAACCGCAGAAACGGCGGAAGTAGGTCTTCCACAGCAGCTCGTCTGCGCACGCCGTGTTCCGTCGCGTAAGTAAGTGTCTGGCGGGTGGACGGCAGAACAACCGGTGCTGGCAGCTTACCGTTTGAGAGGCTGTGGAAGGTGTGGTTGACCAGGCTGACCGACTGCAGCACGTGCTTGGCATCCATATATCCCACGATCTGCATCAGCACCTCTGCCACCGACAATACGTGAGTAATGGAGAGAACACGAACACACAATCCACGATGTGCGTGTGACACACGACACGGCCAACAACCAACTACATTGATACCTTGAGGCAAGGACTGAATGCTGAGCTCGTCATCGCCGGCTGCTTCGGGCTTCACGGGAACGCAGATGGCTTTGTCATCTACCGCCGGCTCGGCGTCGGGAGACTCGAGCTTCGTCGGAGTGGTGGCCGGTGCCATCTGCACGCAGGTCAGGTTAGCCGGTGAACGTTTGGCTCTGGTGCCCGACTTCGCGGTGAGAGGAGCAGAGTGGGCGGTGTGTGCACCTTGTTGTTGAGCATGGCGTGCCAGTAGAGCTGTGGTCGGTCCCGCAGGCTGCGCACGAGTATGGGTTTGGTCCACCGCTTGGTGAGCTTGAGGAATTTCTTGCATGCCTCCCCAGTCGTGAGCAGTTGCACCCTCTTATTCGCTTGCGCGTCTCCCTTGGTGAAGTCGGAGGTGCGAACCCACCTGTTGCAATGCATGCACCGCACACAATTCACATCGATGAGCGATCACACAGGGTGGGTGGGTTGGCAGGGGATGGGACGGGATCAGACGCACTTGTTGCCCCGCGTGCCGGGCAGAGGCATGAAGCGCTCAAAGATGGGCGGGCAGGTGAGCTCGAGCGTGAGAAGCACCAGATTGCCCTCGCGCCGTCGGCCCTTCTGATGCGTTCGATCTCCAACCGTCTGAAGATCATTCGCTTTCCGGCTTCCCACTTGCTCTGTGACAAACTGGACATTAGCGTGCACCCGCAAGTGAATAGTTGTTAGCCTAACAACATGGCTCTACAAACAACACGCTCCTCAGTGCGTCAGCATTAGTGGCCTACGTACCCTGCTCTTCATTTCGATGGATATCTCCGAGTTCTTGGTGCCCTCATTCCGGAGGCGCCACTTGAGGCTCAAGGCGTCCTTGGCACCTTCTACGCGCACCCATGAGCCGACAGTGATCTGTACAGATAGACGAAGACGTAAAATAATAATAAATATGGGAAAATCTTCCTGGAAAAGTGTGGACGGGAAGCAGTGCCGTACGCGCTTGAGCGGAAAGATGACTTGGTTTGAGGACTCCTGGATACCCGCGGCCGCGTCGGCTTCAGAATCGCTGCTACTGCTACTGCTACTGCTGTCGTCGCTAGGGCTGCCTTTTTTGCCATCCGGCTTCTTCCTTCTCTTCGCGGGCGCCTTCCTCTTCTTCTGTCTGCCCGTTTTCTTCTTGGCTTTCTTCTCTGGTGCAGGCTTTTTCTTGTCCTTCTTGGTCTTCTTCTTCGCCTTCTTCTTTGGTGAGGTTGCTTTCTTTTCCGCTACTTCCTCGTCATCTTCATCTTTCCTCTTTCTCTTGGTTGGCGAAGCTTTAGTGCCTCTACTCGCCGTGCTGGCCTTCCTCTGCTTCTTGTTGGGCGACTCGATGGGCTCGCCCTTGCGCTTTCCCTTCCCTGCCGCAGTGACCGCGTCATCTTCACCGCCGGTTTCTTCTGATTCTTCATCCTTGACGAGGCTCTCCTCTTTCCAGCCTCCGCTCTCTTCATCCCCTTCATCCTCTCCTTCACTCTCCTCTTCTTCCTTCACTTCCATCTTTACTTCGGCGTCTTCGTCGGCGGTTTGCATCACCATCCTCGGAGACACTCACCTCACTGTCATCATCTTTTTCAACCTTTACCACTACCACTTCTTCGTCCTCCACTTCCTCCTTCACCACAGGGCCGACTCCCTTCTTCTTGCTCATCTTCCGCGCGCGGCCGATCGATGCACTTCCGCAACGAAAAAATACCTCGCATACATTCATGTGTTGGAATGCGAGATAAATATTTGAATAATAATATTTCTTTTATAATTCTATTATATTTGTTATTACGAGCAGAATAAATAACTGTGGGAGAATGCTCACACCCTCACACGCGAGGGCACGAACAAGAGTAGAGCAGGATATGAGGAGAAGGAGGACAAAACAAAAATGGTACACAGAGGCACAGCACACAACAACATGACACACGACACGACACGCACACATACAAACACAACAAGACGACGACATTGATTGGGGCTGAGAAGCAGGAGAGGACGAGGCGAAGAAAGAGAGACGAAGAGAAGAAGTCGGGAAGCTGAGACGAGGGCGAGTGGCGGCGGGCGTCCGCGCAGTAGGTGGTGGTCACGAGTGTCCCGGGATGTGTGGTCTGGGCGGGGGATCTGGAGGTCTCAGATGCCGTAGCGCTGGTTGAGGAACTCCTTGAGGCCGGGCGGCCAGCTGGCGGTGGCGGCTTGCCAGACGTCGGGGGCGAGGGCACCCTTGAAGGACTGGAGGATGTGGCCAAAGGCCTGGGCGAGCTCGGGCTTGGGCTGGTCCCACGAGGCGATGGCGTCGGCGATGTGGGTGACGTGCTTGATGGCGGCCTGCGGGTTGGCCTTGATGATGGTGCAGAGGCCCTTGAAGGCCGACTCCTTCTCGCCGTCGTCGCGCACGCATCGGAGCGAGTTGCACCAGGGCACGATGAACTCCTCGAGGTAGGGCGCCACGGCCTGCGGGCAGACGAGGCCCATGCGGCCGATGGTGATCGACACGTTCTCGATGAGGTTGCGCGGGTAGTAGGAGTTGATGATCTCGATGAGCTTGCCCATGACAGGCACCACCATCGGCTCCATCTGGCTGCCCACTCGCATCGAGATCTCGCCGATGGCCCACACGGCGTTGTTGCAGGCCGACTGGTGCTCGGGGTGGATGTTCTGGATCAGGACCGGCACGTACTGGCCCAGGCACGGCGCCAGCAGGCCGAGCGACGACTTGGACAGCTCGCCCACCAGGGCGAACGCGCTCTGCCGCACGTCGCCGCTCTCGTGCTTCATGCACACGAAGAGGAGGTCCAGGAGGCGGCTCTCCTTGATGAGCGGGTCGAGCTTCTCGCGGATGCCCTCCACGAGGCCGCCGATGAGGTCGAGCGAGCAGATGATGAAGTCGCGCTCGGGCGGGTTCGGCACCTGGTTCATCTCGGCCGCGATCGTGCCCTCGATCAGGCGCAGGCAGCGCGCGTAGACCGGCGGCGCGTACTGCAGGAAGCCCTCGCCGAGCGCCGTGACGACGTACATCATGCACTCGAGCAGCGGGAAGAGCCGCGGGTCGTCGTCGTGCAGCTGGTTCCAGCGGTTGACGAGCGGCGGCAGCAGGATGTTGACGTACTCGGCCTTGTTGAGCTGGTTGCCCAGCGTCTCGGCGAGGGTGCCGATGGCGTCGTAGAGGATCAGCAGGTTCTTGGCCTGGTACTTCTCGTAGGCGGCCATGAGCGCCTGGCACACGGGCACGAGGAACGGCACGAGCCGCTCGCGCGCGATCTCCTCAAAGGTGGCGAGCGCCGACACGGCCGCCTCCTGCACGCGCTTGTGCGAATCGAGGAGACGCGAGAGGAGGAGCTGCAGCAGCGGCTGCATGAACTTCTGCTGCTCCGGCTGATCCGCGATCCACCCGCCGTAGCGGCACAGCGACCAGCACGTGATGCTCCGGATCAGCGGCTGGATGGAGATCACGCACAGAGAGAAAGGTTTAGGAATTAAAGGCCGCTCCTTAACACAACACACACGACACACCACACGCACCAACCGCCACACACACAACAACAATAACAACAACAGAGAGAGAGAGATACCTTGGGGTGACTGCTCTGCTGGAGGAGGAAGGGGATGATCTCGGGGAGGAACTTCTCGATGGCGGAGCCGCAGCCTTCGGCCACGGCGCCGAGGGCGAGGATGGCGCTCTCCTTCTGGGGCCACAGGGCGATGTCGCTGCTCTGCAGGCGCGACGAGATGATGGGCAGCACGATGGGGAGAATCTCATCCCCGAACTCGCTGGCAAAGATGTCAAGGCCGGCGGCGGAGCACTTGCGCAGGTTCCACTCCTCCGGCTCGTAGTCGTCGGCGCCATCGTCGTCGTCGTCATCGTCGCCGCCGTCTCCGCCGCGCTTGCCGTAGACGAAGGGCTTGATGTCCTGGGGCTTGTCGGGCACGTTCTCGTCCTCCTCCTCGGCGTCAAAGTCGGCGATCTCGCTGTCCGTGTAGACCATGCCGTCGAGCAGCGCGGGCAGGATGCGGCCGAGGTTGGCCCGCAGGATGTCGGTGCACATGCGGGTCTCGGCGATGACGGGCCAGAACTCGGTGGCCTCGAGCGCGACGGCCTCGTCGTCGTCGCGGGTCATGACCAGCAGGCAGTCGATGAAGGCCGGCAGGTACGGCTTCACGTAGTCGAGGCGAACCTCGACCAGCGTGATAAGGCCCTGGCACACGAGAATCTTGATCTCGTTCGACGAATCGTTGGCCAGGTGATTCAGACCCTGGAATACATCAAAAAAAAGCTCACGAAATGAGAATAGTGCATTGATTTCCTATTCCAATGAATAAATAAATAAATTTAACACATTTTGTGACCAAAGATGTGTGTAGCGGAAGAAAAGACGCACCCTGATGTAGACGTCCATGTGGGTCGCCAGCACGGTGGGCATGGGCACCACGAAGTTGTTCACGCAGCTGAGCGCGAAGCGACGGAAGGCCTCGTGCTCGGAAGTGAAGAAGGAGATGAGCTTGGGCAGGAGGGCCTGCAGCGGAGAGCCCATCGCGGCGTCGTCGTTTTCGATTTTCTCTGCTGAGTCCTGGCAGATCTTCTGGAGGGCGCTGAGGGTGCCGTCGATGACGTTCACATCCGTGCTGGTGTTGAGGAGCTGAAGGAAGTACTGGAGGAGGCCCGGGCACTCCTTCATCGATGTGACGTCGATGATGGTGGTGAAGATGGTGCCCACCGTGCGTCTGATTGAAGTCATCCTGTCGCCGATGCATTGGATGATCTCATTCTTCATGTAGTTGCGAATTTCCTCAGGAATCTGTCGATAGTACTCCCTGATGTTGTTCTTGAGCACGAGGCCCGCCACCGTGCGGATGTACTCCTCCTGATCTTGCAGCTTCGTGAAGATATACGTCAAGTACCGGTAGTACTCGGGATTGTTGTGCAGCGATTGAAGTTGCTGCGCGATGATGGAAAATGGCATGAGGAGATGGTGAGATTAGACCCCTGACACAAAAATCACTTTGAAATGTGCAAAATCGTGTAAAAGATGAAACGGGGCTTAATGCAGAGGGCAGCATCTCGACTACGGTACCTGATTGACCTGCTTCTGCACATCATGATCGGGAGATTGGCTGAACTTGAGCAGCTGTACGATCTGATTGAGCCCGTCTTGCGTCGGTTGCCACGCTGCCATCTTCAATCAATCGACAACCAAACAAAAGCAGAACTAAATGTGAATTTGGTCTCCTTCTTCTTCCGCTCCGGCCTTTTCTGTCGACATGCTTCAGACGCGCCTACATGATTGCAGCCTCACTGCAAAGCAGGGACATCACTACACTTCCCCTGTGGCGCACAAGCCCACCCAGTCCGGGCTCACGCGCTGCAAATCCGAGGCGCTGCCACGTTGTGGCCCTTGTTGCTCTGACCAAAGTGGCGCCGAGAACTGGTCCATAAATCGATAATCCGACGCCGAGCGTTTCAAATGCTCCCCTGCGGTGACTTCTTTCCTTTCGGCGTGATACAGGGAAGCTTGGCCGCGTGGAGGAGAACGAGCATTCGAGGAACGGGAGCACTACCCTCCCAAAGGGATCAGCTTCGCCGAGGTGATGGTATAAAGACCAACACACGCTGGTCTTAAAAAACAAGTTCAATCCAACAGACCAGCAGCAACAACATCCCCAGCAACGATGAGCACTCTCGATAGCACTCAGGTCGCCAACACTCTTCGCCGCCTGTTTGGCGACATGGCCAACGACAAGCAGCGCATCGGCGAGCTCCGCGAGAAGTTCATCAAGGAGGGCCTCATCTCGCCCGACGAGGACCTCAAGCAGCTGGTCGTCCGCTTGTCGCGGGAGGACTACAAGGCACTCTACACCGGCATGCTCAGCCAGCTCTACCTGGCCGTCAAGCCCGAATTCGGCAAGATGCTCTACATGCTCGCCCTTGCGCGCAACGCCACCAACATCGTCGAGTTCGGCACCTCGTTCGGCGTTTCGACCATCCACCTCGCCGCCGCGCTACGCGACAACGGCGGGCGCGGCAAACTGATCACGACCGAGTTCGAGCCCGGCAAGGTGGCCCAGGCCAAGCGCAACCTCGAGGAGGCCGGGCTGGTCGACCTGGTCGAGTTCAGGGAGGGCGACGCGATGCAGACCCTGCAGACCGAGCTGCCCGCAACGATCGATCTGGTGCTGCTCGACGGGGCCAAGAACCTCTACGTGCCCCTGCTCAAGCTGCTGGAGCCGAGGCTCAAGCGCGGCGCCCTGGTGCTGGCCGACAACGCCGACTTCGAGCCCGACTACCTGGCCTACGTGCGCGACCCCGCCAACGGCTACGTCTCGCTCGACCTGGCCCTCGAGCAGGGCAACGAGATGTCGGTCCGCGTCGTCGATTCGGCCTAAACACTTGTGTGTTAAAAATTAAAATAAATAAATAAGTAACAAACAAACAAACAAACATATAAATGAAATAACGGAAATCATAACTTAGTATTGTGGGCGTGCTGATCTATTATACGATGAACATAGCATAGCACGAATAATAACAATAAATAAATATGGTGTCCCACGAGTGGTGGAGGGGAGAACGCAGTTGTGTGTCGTTCGGCGAAGGGTGCGAGCTTAGGTGGGCTTGGGGTCCTTCCCTGGACTGCTCGGCGCGCTGGCCTCCTGCTGGTCGAGCGACTTGAAGGTCTCGCGCGCACGCGCCAGGTAGCTCGGACTGTCGACCTGCACCGGCCTTCGCGGTGACGCGGGCGTCGGGCTTTCGTCGCGGTTGAACACTTCCATCCGCGCCTGCAGGTCGATCCTCACCTGCTTCGGCTTGTCGGCCCCCTCCTTCTCTTTCTCTTTCTCCTTTTCGCTTTCGCTCTTGTTCTCGCCTTCCGACTCCTCTTCCTCCTTCTCCTGCTTGTTTCGCGCCACTATCGTTCGTTGTCGCATCTTCACCTCCTCTGCAGGAAGAGGAAGAAAACAGATTAGTCGCTAGATCACATCGCACCTGTGATCGCCGCACACGCACGCACGCCGCATGACGCACGCACGCACGCACGCACGCACTCACGCACGCACACGGAACAGCATACAAGCACACACGGTGGGTTACCATCGTCTATGCTGGCTGCCGATTTGCCGTTGAGCAAGGAGACGTTGGCCATTGGAAAGAAGCCCGCGGCCTCCTGAAGCAACACAAACAGCATCGAGCAGCCGTGAGAAGAAGAAGGAGGAGGAAGAGAGTCACGGCAACTTCAAAACAAACTAACAAACTAATAAACGAACGCTCATTTACATTTATTTATATAATAATAAAAACTGGATTATGTGAGGGCGCGTACCCGACTTTCGCCCATGAACAGAGTCCCCTTGGCAGTGCCGGTGATGACAATCATGTCGCCTTCCACCAGCTCGAGCTGTTGCGCACGGTGAGACGGCAAGCAGGACATAAGAGGAGAAGGGGTGAAGAGACGTACGTCCTCGTTGGTTCGTGGCTTGTAGGCCTTGGTGACCTTGGCGTAGTATTTATAGTAGGGTCGGTACTCCACTTCCTACACAAGAGCACAAATATAAATAAATATGAATAATTATGATTTGTTTAATACATTATTCATTATACCAATCTTTACAACAAGTACTGTGCGAGCGTCGTACCTTGAGAATAGTGTCGTGGTGTTTGATGAGGGTGATGGTCAGCTCGTTCACATATTTTGTGTCGGCCACCTGCTTTTCAATTGCAGCTCTGTCGCTCGTCATCGCTTATGTGTTCGAACGACACACGCGCACGACAGACACACGATACAAACACACGTGGCATATATACACTCATTTCTGTCAGTATGTTGGTCGACGATCGCCTTGATTGGTGTCGCTCTAGCCATAGCTAGAGTGGGGGCGGTGGCGGCACCTGAAGGTGGTGGGCGGAAGAAGCTGGGTCCGAAAATGGTGGCGAGGTTGGGTGCGTCCATCTTGTTCTCCGCCGACTCCTCGACCACTTTGGAGAGGCACATGAGGATGCGCTTGAGGGTAAACTTGTTGTACTGCGGCACCTCCTTGAACAGCACCTGCAGCTCTTCCTGTGCCGTCGCTAGTAGCCACACAAATCGCTCTACGCGTCAGACATACTATGCATAATTTTAATTTTAATTTTAAAATAATTTTAAAATAATAATGCAATAAAATACTAATTATAAGAATGCATAATATAGAAATAGAAATAGAAATATACGTACACGAAGACTTGCGAGCGAGTTCAACAAAGGAGGCGAAGAGGGAAGAGGGGATGATGGAGTCGGGGTACTCGCGGACGAAGATTTTGAGCAAATCGCACACCACGTAGCCGTTGGAGGTCTTGAACAGGTCCACCTGCTCCCCGTTGTTCACCATGTCCCTGAACAGCTTCGTCTCGTCCACATTACCTGTGTTCCGCCGACGCTCGTTAGTAACAGTGTGTCGTATGTGTGTGTGTATGTGTGTGTCGTGTGTGTCGTGTGTGTGGTGTGGTGTGGTGTGTGTGTGTGTGCGGGCGTACCGGCCATGCGGAAGATGCCTTCCAGAGAGAGGAACAGGTGCTCGATGTGGAGGCACAGCAGCTCGAGGAAGGGCGGCACCTGCCACTCGGGGTAGCCGCGCATGGCGACCTCGAGCGGCACCCCAAAGAGTCCGCCCACCTTCAGATTGCGGAAGTTTCTGCATGACGCACGCATTCACCACACACACCATCGCACACGCACACGCACACGCACACGCACGCACCACCGCACACACGCGCACACCACATTCATGGCATCGTTTAGTACGCGCACGCGTGGTGGCGAGGGGACGAGGACGAAGATACCGAGGAGCAGAGATGCGGATGTCGTCGGCAGGGCGGCGGCGCGGCGACAAGGCCGGCTTGTTGCTGGTGCCCGCAGCGATGACGATCGAGGGCATTGTGTAGTGCTGCTTCATGTTGGTCGAGCTGTGGGCCTTGGTCATCCCCGCCTTCCCCTTCTTCTTCGCCTCTGCACCCACACACCACCAGTGTGAATTAATAAATTTAATATATTAATAAATTACAATAGAGAAAATTTATTATTAATATATTTATTAAATCCGGAATTATAATGATTAATAATAAAATTATGAATAAAGTACCGAGGTCTTTGAGGCCGCTCTTGAGCTGGTGCTTGTCGTCGGGGCTGAGGTCGAGCACGAAGCGGTTCTGCTCCATGGGCGTGGGCAGTTGTTTGGCCCACTCGGGCGGTGCCGAGGGCGGCGGTGGCACGTACTTGCCAACCGCCGGCTGTTTCGATCCGCTCCCTTCGTTCTTTTTGCCGCCGCTGTTCATCAAGCCGTCCTTCTCCTTGCTCTTCTTCTTGCTCTCCTTTTTCGATCCACCACTGCCGCTCTCCTTCTTCTCCTTCTTCTCCCTTTTGTAGCTGCTGCCGCCTTTCTCCTTCTTCTTGAGCTTCTTGGCGTCGCCATCATCGACGAATCGCGCCAAGTCCTCGAAAGATGACGATGCGCCCGATGGAGGAACACCACGAGGCGACATCATGAGGCCCTCCAGGCTGATCTTGTCCTTGCTGCTCGATGTGGTGGTCCCCGTGGCAGAGGTCGAGAAGGCCACCGATTGCTTCAGCTTGAGCATGGCGTTCGCCTCCGCCGTCGCATTGCTTCCATTGCTACTCGATTTTTCATCTTCGCCGCTTCGCTGGAGGATGGCTCTGTCGATGGCGTTGGTGGGGCGGGAGATCGGCAGGTCGCTGTACGACTGGCCCTTCTTGAACAGGCCCCTCTTCATCTCCCTCTACTCTTTTCCCCCCTCTCCTCTTCGTTCGAGCTAATCTTTTTTTAAAAGACTGATTCAAGTTGCTGGTCGCGTGCAGCTCTTCTCCTTAGCCTCTCGTGCGGCCAAGGTGGTGTCCTTGTCGGGTTGTTGTGGCTCGACCGAGCGTTGGCAACGAACAGTTAATTTTAGTTAATTTAAACGCTTGCTTACATTTTCTTTCGTTTTTCTTTTTCTTCCTGGATGTGAAGGATGTAGCTGCAAAATTAACACAGCTGGCACGAGCCTGGCTGCATCTTCATGGTGCCCGTGCTTCGCTTTGTCTGGTTGTCTGCCACTGGGACCGAGGGCTTCCTGGCCAGCACCACGGCAGGGGATGTCCCAGGTACAGTGGGCAGGAGCGGCTTGAATTGGCCCTCGCCAGCAGACAATGGCGCCACAATGCGAACATTCTCACCAGCATCAGTGAAGCATACGCCCACGCGCAGAGGCGATTCCGACACATCCATGTAGGGGAACACCTGACCAAGGGGGCAATAGATGAGAACAGAAACATGTTATAAAATCAAGTGCAAGACTAATGCACACAACGCACAGGCACACACAAGATTGTGTGACATTGTACCAAGGGGTGGTGGACCATGCGGAAGTTCTTGAAAAAGATCACATAGGGATGCACATTGTGCGACACGACAGCATCTTCCAACGAGGTAGGTGCACCCATACGAACAACCCTGCATGTAGTGTCGTGAGACTACTGATTTGGGATGAGTTGACCAAGGCTGTGGAGCGGGGGCACAAGTTAACTGGGACCAGCTGGGCTCGTTCGACGAAGCGGCATTCATGTCGCGGAGGCCCACTTGCACACTGATGATGTCGCCCTGGCCGAACTGGGTCGTAGAACGATGTCCCAGCCTGCCACGAGTGTGCGTAATTAAGCCGCGTGTGCGTGTGCATGTGTGTGTGTGTGTGGCGGCACGTGTACGCGCGCTTTGTTGTGGTCGTATTCTTGGTACCCAGCTCGTAGAATGTCGCCGTCAGGAAAGTAGGCCACTGCAATAGTCTTCTCCAGCAAGGTTGGGTGCATCAGGAAGGCCTTCTCCCGCTTGCCCTTGGGCCGCACCGCCTGGGTCACCGTCACACAGAAATTCGGGTCTGCATCCACGACCAGGTGAGTCAAGAAGTCAATCCGGCCAACCAGAGTCAACTTGACTTGAACGTACTGGGGAAACAGTCGATGCGGAAGTGCACCACAGCCGGTGCCGACGCTGGTGAGTAGAGTGCGGCCAGCGTGTGGCCTGAGTGCACATAGGCTGAGTTGCAATTGGGATCCGGGTATTGGGGGGTGATGTCGGTCGGGAGATCGCCGAAGCGGGCGCAGCGCCCGCCGTCATCGAAGACCACATCTTGACTCTCCACTTCATCAAACCGCGGCGTCAAGCGCTGCATTGCAGTCCGTCAGGACGGATTAATAATTTTAAGACAATCAAAAAACGTACCGCGCGGGTTTGCGGGTTGGCGAAGATGGCGTGGTGGAAGTCGCGGCATACCCGCGCTGCTGTTACCAACTCCCTCTGCAAATGCCCCCCCCCCACCGACCCAAGCTAAGGAGCAGAGCTCAAGTGCCTGAAGCACAAGCAACACAAAGTAACTTAAAAAACAAGTCGCGAGAAAAGAAAGCAGTACAGGGTGGGTTAGGAAAGAGACGACGAGGTCCCACAGCTCCTGCGGCAGTGCCTCCATGCTTCCGTGCAAAAATAAAAATAAAAATAAAATAAAGAAAAACAATTTCTAGAAATGTATGGGCGTTTATGTTAGCCGTGTACGGTGATTGCGTCCACCGTGCGCTCCGCCTCACCAGTAGAGTTGTTCGATTTGGACGCCGGCTGCCTGCTGGGCATTCCACACGGTGGCCGGGGCGGGCAGGGCAAAGTCGCCCTTCTGGCCCACCTCGGCCCTGGCGCTGGCGAGGGCCTGCTTGACCGCAAAGTACACTGAACACGCCACACAGTACGGCGGCTCGCCCGAAGCCTTGGACCGCATCACGCCCACAGGATTGGGCGCATCTGCAAGCAAGCGCAACCCACAAGAAAATGCACCACGCACCACGCACAACACGACACGGCATGACACACACCGATTTTTAGTGTGGTGAATGTGTGTGTCGTGCTACCCCTAAACACACGCGTGCGGCGCCAACGTACCCTTGAGGAGCGCGACGTTGAAGCGAATGGGGATGTCCTTCTGCGAGGGCGGCTTATACTCCCACGTGCTAGCAGGGGAGAGGGCGAAGAAAGCAAAAGACAAAAATATGAATATTAATTTATAACAAAGTAATAATAATAAATTAAAATAAATAATAATACATAATAAAAAAATTAAATAATGGCTAACGTACCCGTTGGTCACCAGCTTGCCGCTGGGGTCGTACTCGATGTACTCGGTGAGGAAGTAGCCCAGGCCCTGGATGAAGGCGCCCTCGACTTGACCTGCCCCAGGAGCGAGACCAAAAACCGGGTCAGCTGTCGGTGTCAACACAAAGAAACCGGAGAGCGTACCGATGTCGACGTCGGGGTTCAGGCTGACGCCGCAGTCGAACAGAATGTCGGTCTGCAGCACCTCGGTGGCGCCCGTAAGAATGTCCACTTGCACTGCGTGTCGTGCCATGTGTCGTGTGTCAGGCAAGCGCGTGTTGTGTTCTATATAAGGTGTGGTTGCGAAAAGGTACCTTCGGTGCAGGCTACGGCGTAGGAGTTGTAGGCGAATGGGTTGGGCGTCTGCGCGGTGATCCAGGCGTGCGCCCTCAGCTCGACGCCGGCGGCGTAGGCCTTGGTGATCAGCTCCTGCCAGGTGGGCTCGGCCCTCTTGTCCTGCCGCATCAGCGTCCGCAGGGGCGCCAGCCGCTTGTTCAGGATGTCGCACGCCTCCATCACGATCTTGCTGTTCTCCGCGGCAAACGCACATATCAAACAATGAGCAACATGTTGAGTTATATATATATTATAAGTATATATATTGTAAATATGATGCAATATGTTGAACAGAGAGGGAATGTACCTGTTGAGGCCAGAGGTGATGGAACCGCCGGTGGGGTCGGCGTTGGTGGCGATGAAGCTGTTGGTGGGGTCGATGGCGATCAGGTCGAGCGGAATGCCGAGCTCGTGGGCCACGCACTGGGCCACCTTGGTGTTGATGCCCTGGCCGACCTCCACGCCCGAGTGGCCCACGCCCACCGTACCGTCCATGTAGATGTTCACCTGACAACCATACCTTCAAACAGAAGGCAAATGCACATTTAATTAGTTGGCTGGCGGCCCTGTGTCGTGCGGTGTGTGCGGTGTGTGCGGTGTGTGCGGTGTGTGTCGTGACGAGAAGGGGTGTGTACTTGGCTCCAGCCCAGGAGATGCCGTATTTGAGGGGGACGAGGGAGATGCCGCGCTTGGTCCAGCGGTTGTTGCTGTTGTAGAGCTGCACCTGCGCCTTGCGGGCGTCATAGTTGCAGCTGGCCTTCAGCTGATTCCAAAGCGAGCCCAAGCTGGCGACAGAAAAAAATGCGCACATTAAGCCGTGTCCACAAATCCACATATGGACAGCACACGCACCACCGCACACGATTTACCTGAAGTAGGGAAGGGGCTGCCCGTAGGGGGTGGTCTGGCCCTTGGCGTAGAAGTTGAGGGGCTTCACCACGTCGGGCGAGAGGCCCAGATAGGCCGACACTGACTCCACCACGCTCTCCATGAAGTAGATCGCCGGCACGCAACTTCAAAAAAAAAAAAAAAAAAAACACGCACCAACACGCACCACACGCATGTGGCACCACACACACGACCACACACACACACACACACAGCACACACAGCACACACAGCACACACAGCACACACAGCACACACAGCACACACAGCACACACACAACACACACGTCAGACTGAGACGCTGGTGGTGCCTACTAGATCTGGGGAAGGGGCAAGGTACCCGGGAGCGCGGGTCGGGGTGTTGGAGGGCAGGTTGGTGAAGCAGAGCTTGCCCTCGATGGCGTAGTTGGGCACGAAGTAGCAGTTGTCGGCCGACGTGAGCGCCATGTCCACGGCTGGCGGAAGGACCCGCAACCGGTTGTTGCAGTGGTAGGGTCAGTAAAAGAGCTGGGACGCAGGTCAGCGATTTCAGCTGTATATTGATGCGAGGGCGCGTACTGCCGGCCGTCGAGTCGTAGGAGCACCCGCCGTCAGCGTACAGGGTCATCTGCAGGGCATTGATCTTGCCTGCATGTTGTGTGTGGTGTGTGTGCGCGGTGTGTGTGGTGTGCGTGTGGTGCGCGGTGTGTGTCGTGTCGGTGTGAGCGAGTTGCGAAAGAACCGGGGCGATGGGTTTCCGTTACCGTTGTCGTCGAACCCGACCTTGTAGTCGCATCGGAACGGGTGCCTCTTGCCGACCATCTCCATGTTGGTGTTGATGTCGAGCGACAGCTTAACGGGCCGCTTCAGCTTCTTCGAGGCCACCGCGGCGGCCGTGGCGACCATCGCCGATCGGGTGATCTTGCCTCCGTAGGCCCCGCCCACGCGCCTCGTTTCCACTGCGCGCACGCAGAGTTTAGCAGAGCCTCAGCGTCAGCAGCCTTTGGCTTGAGCTAGACGAAGGGGAGTACAACGTTACCGGTGATCTTGGAGCTGTTGACGCCGGTGACGCGCGAGATGAGGTTCTGCATGAGAGAAGGCCACTGGGTCGACGAGATGACCTTCATCGCCTGGCCCTCCTCCGGAATGGCCACGCTGCTCTGCGTCTCCATGTGGAAGTGGTACTGCGACCCGACCGAGACCGAATTCTGGGTGTTCCCACAAAATAGCATTGTAAAAAAATGCAAAAAAGAATATTACGAAAATATAATATAATATAAAAATATAAAAATATAATGTATAATATGAAATAAAAAAAATTGTGTACCTGGAGGACGTGCTTGGACTGGGCGAAGCCCTTGCTGAGGTCGCCCGTGGTGAAGGGGCCGACGGGGGTGGTGCCCGGGTAGGGCGGGAAGAAGGAGTTGCGGGAGATGGCCTCGTCCAGCGACAGGACCGGCTTGGGCGCCTTGCTGACGTCATAGGTCACCTTCACCAGCTGCACGGCCTCGCGCGCCCTTCTGTAGCTCTCGGCCACGATCAAGCCTGCATCACGTGGCAACCCAGAAAGCCATCAGGAATGCGAGGAATGAACGCCAAGGCCAGGGCTACGCCTATTGTGGTCTCGAGTGTGCTCATACCGATGGGCTGGCCGTTGTAGATGACCTTCTTGTCAGCAAACACGGGCTCGTGCCACTCAACCGGGACCGGGTCAGTCGTGATGGTGTTGCGATCTGTGTCGTGTGTGTGTGTGTGTCGTGTGTGTGTGTGTGTGTGTGGACACAGTGAGCAGAGGTATATTTAAATGTAATTAGGGTGGGTAGGTGGGTACCGGGCTGGATGTCCTTGGCCGAGATCCAGGCGATGACGCCGGGAAGTTGAAGGGCGGCCGACGGGTCGACAGACACGATGTCACCGGTCGCCACCGTGGTCAGCACAAAGTCGGCGTAGGCCGCGTTGTTCGGCGTCACGTCGTCGGCATACACCGCCTGAAAGAGCGCACCAAAAGAGCGAAGAACGAAGAACGAAGAACGAAGAAGAAAGCACGAAGCAATCAATCACCTTGGCACCAAGAAGCTGCTCAGTATCCATGCGTTGACAAGGTACCTTGCCGCTGGTCTGGACGACGCCGTCGATCTTGGGAATGGCCTGGGAGATCGGGTACTCCGACGGGTCGGTGCCATACGACTGCTCGCCACTGCTCACCGGCCGAACGACTGGAATCACCCGCCCAGACCCCAGACGGGTCGAACGTCAGCTGTGCGTGTGCGTGTGCGTGTGCGTATCAAGCGCTCGAGAGGGGAGGGGGTGAAGAGCGTACAGTGGTGCATCGCCGACTCGAGTTGGGGAGGAAGCGACGAGGCTGGGAGCTGGGCCAGGTAGAACTTGTAGAAGAGGGTGAGGATGAGGGAGGACCGGTAGGCCACGCGGCCTTCGGTCGGGTCGATCGTAGGCACGAGCGAGGTCTGCAGCAAAGCCAGCGCATCTACCATTCAAATAACAAATAACGAAAACGAAACAAAAACAAACGGAATGTGAGTCATGCGCGGTGCAGCAAAGAAGAGGAAACGTGGTACACTTGAGCGTGGCGGGATCGCTCCAGGAGCGTCCGACCAAGAACTCCTCCACCTTTTCGGCGCGGCACGGGTACTTCTGCACGCCGCCGTAGGCCAGGGTGGGCAGCTTGGTCACGCGATAGCTGCTGTCGAGCTCCACGCGGAATCCTGGCGCACACATCAAACGCTCAGTTGACCGCACAGAAAAGTCACATATTATGAGACGTCAGGTGCAGGTACCAGCGTTGACGATGGCGTGCGAGTTGACGTGACGGACCATAGTCTTGTGCGTATCGAAGCCTCCCGGCACGGTCGCCCACGGAACGGTGATGGAGTAGATGATCCTGTTGGTCATGTCCACCTGCGATCACATCAATTCATGAATTCTTCTCAGTATTGCGTGGCTGTGTGCGGTGGTGCGTGTGCTGCGAACCTTCTCAAATCCGTACAACGGCACATTTTGGAAGTTGCCGTTGATGTCGAGCAGCCGCAGCTCGGCTCCCACGGCCATGAGGATGGTCCAGATATCGGACGTGAAGGCCCAGTTGTGCACCATCATCAAATTACCTGACCATTACGAAACGAAATTAAGAAATTAAGAAATTAATACTGATAAAAATAGCAATAGCAATACAATAACAAACGAAAAGAAAAGAATTAAATCAGAATTATAAAAATGAAAAATGCAGGTCAGGGAGTCGCACCCGACACGCTGCCCACGTTGCGCACTTGCGGGCTCGCCACGAGCTTCAGGTGGCGGAGGAGTACGGGGATGAAGGCGGTGCGCACGGATTTGTCCGCAGCGGCGGTCTCCTCCAGGAAGGACATGAACCGACTCACCGTCACCGCGCCGCCCATCGTCAGGCCAGCTGCCGTCTTCTCCGTTTTCTATCGAGTCAAACACTTCTAAGTATTGGCCAGTAGGCACGCGTGTCGTGTGTGTCGTGTGTGTCGTGTGTACGCACCTGGAGCTCTGTAATGTCCCTGATGTAGATCCACATGTCGGGCTTCTGGTCCTTGTACACGCCGATCGAGGTGTTGCCGACGACGAACTTCTTGGTGGCCGCAGGCGCACTTTTGAGCAGCTGCAGAAGCGCGTCGAGCGTGGCCGGCGCGTACCACGCCATACCGAGCGCGTCGCGGAACTGGAGCGCAGACTTGGGAGCCTCGCCCGCCTTTTTCACACACGTTCTGCACACAACACACACACACACACATGTAGCACACGACACACGTCAATTGATTCCGGTCAAATATGGCAGTTATGCAGTGAATGCGTCAAATTTCAGCGTACCCAGTGCGACGGCAGAGGTCCTCGATGTCGGCGCTGCACTGCGAGCCCGGCGCGGCCGAGGCGGCGTCGCCGGCGAAGGACTTCATGGCGTCGAGGATCGGGCGGTAGCCGGTGCAGCGACACAAGTTGCCGTCGAAGTGGTCTTCCACCTCTTGCTGCGTTGGCTTGGGCTTCTCCTTGAGCAGCGAGTACATGCTCATCACCTGCGGCCCACAAAATGACAAATAAAATATAGATAAATTTAAGAAGAGAAAAAAACAAATTAATATCAACAAATAAATATATATCAACGTACCATGCCCACGCTGCAGAAGCCGCACTGGCTGCCGTTGGAATCGGCGAGCTTCTTGGAGATGGGGTTGGTCTCGGCGTCGCCGTTGAGTCCCTCGATCGTGGTCACCTGCACACACACACCACACAAACACACACACACACACCCATCAATCATCGATCTGAAAAACAGTGAATGTGGTGGTGTTGGCCTGCCATGCGGATATGCGGACGTACGTTGAGGCCGTGGCAGCTGGCCAAAGGCCGGAGACACGAGTTGATGGCGAGGGTCTTGGTGGCCCCGGTGTCGTCCGCCATGTCGATCGCCACCGTACACGAGCCGCAGCCGCCCTCGCCGCACATGAACTTGGTGCCTGCGCGGTCAACAAACAGCAACTGATCAGCAAGCAAGCAACAAGTGTGCGCATTCCGGGTGTAGCTGCGCACCATGGTAGTCGGGTCTGTCACGGAGACTGTGTGTGTGTGTGGTGTGTGTGTGGTGTGTGTTCGAGTGTCAGCACACGGTGCACGCAAAGGGCCAATGGAGGGAGAGGGCAGGAAGGTGCGTAACTAGTCGTTGAGGGTGGTGGCCACGTCCACGTTGTCGACCTGGGTCTTCTCGCCGTTGAGGTAAAATACAATCTGCTGATCGGCCGCCACCGCCTTCTCCCTCCTCTGCCTGTCCTGCTTGGGCTGCTTCTTCGCCGCGCAGCGCTTGGGCTCCGCCTCCAGCTCTTGCTTCACCTGCTCAGCTGGGCCGGCGGCGGCGATGCTCAGCTGGGCCAGCTGGCTGGTGAGCGGCTGCGGCATGTACTGCGGCTTCGACGACGCGGGCACGTAGAAAGCTGTGGGCTGCTGCATCACGGCCTGGCCAGGCCTCGGCGCGGCCGCCACGTAGACGATCCCAGAAGGTCGCTGTGGCTGTGGCTGCTGCTGCGTAGGCTGAGAGTAGATGGCGGGGGTGGCCGCGGCCATCTGCTGTTGCTGCGGGTACTGGTACACTTGAGGATGGAAGGGGTAGGCAGGGTGGAGAGGAAGAGGGGCGGCGCGCGAAGCTGCGGGGGCGCCTCCATTCGCAATGACCTGAGGAGACTGCTGCGGGATTTGATTCATCATCAAAATCGGCGTAGCGCCGGCGGGGGCGGGGGCCGCATAGAAGTAGGCGGGCTGTTGCTGGGCCGGGGGCGCCTGCGGACGCGAGCCATATCTGCCGTTCTGTTGCATATCGCGGTGGGCAGGCCTATCGATCAGCTGCTATGACCGGTCGGCTCCGCGACCAAGTGGTTGGTATCGCCGCTTTGCTATTTCGTTCGCAATTTCGCAATTGAAACTATCTTGCAAAAAAATTTGAAGCGAACGAAACAATCGATTGCTTCATTCGTTGCTGATTGGCCGGTTTCTTGCAGGCCACCGGCCAATGAGTGCGTCGTGTAGAATTGTTCGTCGCCTTCCTCTTGTGACCTTTGGTTGTGGCAAACAAAACTGGACTCAGCTCACACACAAGATGGCTGGGAAGGTGCTGGGCGTCTGTGTGGCCGTTGTGCTGTTGTTGCTTGTCAGTGGTGGGCAGGGCGTCGACGTGGTGGACATCCTGCTCAACACCGAGCAGGGCGTGGACTACGGTGCCGTGGGACCCATCAACCCGTCTTTCGCGGGGTTCTCTGTGGAGTGGTCGATCGACCACTTGTTCATGCCCTACGCCCAGGCCGGCCACTACAACCTCACCCTCCAGCTCTTTCGCAACCTCCTAGAGACCACCGGCGCCGCGCCCACCCTGCGCATCGGCGGCAACAGTGCCGACGAGACGTGGTATGCAGTCATTTCTCTTCTTTGTTTGTTATTTTAATTAATTTCATTAATTTTGTGTTAATTTATATATTGTTGTTAATTAAGGTGGCGGCCGCCTGGGGCCACACCGCCGGCGTGGGTGGAGCACGACATTGGGTCGCCGTCGGAGCTGATCAAGCAGCTGGCCAAATTCTTCGACGAGCTCGACGGCGGTGAGGGCAAGCTGGTGATGGACCTCAACTTCCGCGAGGGCACCGACCCGGTCCTGGCGCTCAACGAGATCAAGTACCTGGCCGACCAGTTCGGCGCCACCCGGTGGGCGCGCCATGTCAAGGCCCTCGAGATAGGCAACGAGGTCGACCTCTACGCCGGCACAGAGGCCTACAGAAACCAATCGACATGGACCACCGCCCTGTACGCATGTTGTGAGTCATGTCGTGTGCGTCACATGTGTGTGGTGTCGTGTGTCGTGTGTGTGTCGTGTGCGTCGTGTGCTGACGTGACGCCGCAGGTACAACGAGCAGTGGAATCAATTCGCCGAGACGATCGCGCGCGCTGTGCAGAGTGCGGTCGGCCACCAAGTCAAATTCCAGGGTGCCACGTTCTGCTGCCACAAAGACTGGTTCCAGTTCCTGCCCAAGTTCATCGACCTGAACGCCGAGCGCCTGGCCACCGTGTCGGTCCACTCCTACGCCCTGTCCGTGTGCGGCGGCAAGAACGTGAGCCTGCCCGAGCTCGTGAGCCAGAAGCTCACGCCCGACGGCCCCCAGCTCGACGGCCTCGGCGTGGCCCGCGCGCGCGGCGTCGAGTACTGGCTGGCCGAGACCAACAGCGTGTCGTGCGGCGGCGCACACGGCGTGTCGGACGCGTTCGGCGCCGGCCTGTGGGCCATCGACTGGCTCTTCAACGGGGCCGCGCTGGGCTATCGCGGCATGAACTTCCACGGCGCCGGCAGCGGCGCGGCTTACGCGCCCTGGAGCTACGGCGCCGGCGACGTGCCCGAGGTCCACCCGCTCTACTACGCAATGCTGGCCTTCGCCCGCACCATCGGCCGCGGCGCACAGGCCTACATCCTGCCGGCCGGGTCGCGCCTGCTCGACGTGAAGAGCAGCCAGCACCAGCTGAGCGTGTGGAGCGTGGGCCACAGGGAGTCGGGCGTGCGCAAGGTGATCGTCAACCACCGCGACATCGCGCCGGGCGCGGCCAACGCGTCGGTGACGGTGCGGCTGACCCACGGCGCGTGGCACGCCGAGGCCGGGCTCACCGTGTTCGAGGCGCCGTCGGCCTACGCGACCGACGGCGTGCGCCTGGGCGGCCAGACCTTCGACGGCTCCACCGACGGGCACATCCGCGGCACTGCCCAGGTGGTGCGGGTCGTGGCCAAGGCCACCAACGAGTGGCGCTTCGAGATGCGGCCCGGCTCCACTGCCTTCCTCACATTCTGTCCGCCCAACCAGCCCCAGCTGTGCTATCAAGTGTAATGTGAGTCAGCCTCATCACCGCTACATTCCAAGTAATCTGAAGAATATCATCACTGCACGTGCGGCAGCCGTTGGCGATCCCCCACTCTAGGACCTCGCGTGGTTCTCTCGCGCGTAGGCGGTGGTGAGCTGGCCCAGGGACGGCCTTGGGCCCGCAGCCACTTGAGCACCGGGGTCCAGTCCGCTACTGGGGCGGTGCTCTGGTCGGCGGGGCGCAGGGCTCTACGCACCCCCCGATTGTATTGGAGCAAGAGTACAGAAGAGGTACGTGCAGAAAAGGTAAAAAGAAAGAAAAGATAAAGGAGAGAAAGGAAAGCAATTCAGAATAAATTGAGGAAAAAGGGAGCTTATTTATTTGTGTTTTCGCGAGTTTTTATTGCTCCGTGAGCAGCTGCTTGGCGCGGCTGGGGGCGGTGGCTGCGAAGGAGGTGCAGATGCCCAGCTGGGTGCAGGCGGTCTTGGGGTCCTCGGTCTTGACGATGTAGGCGATGACGACTGGGACGTAGTACTCCACGAACGAGTCGCACTGGTCGCGGAAGGTGTCGGGCGCGAGGGCGCACACCACCTCGAGCTGCTTGACGATCTGCGCCTGGGTGTAGTTCTGCTGCAGGTAGCCCTCGACGTACATCACCGTAAGCTGGCACATCGCACAGTCCTGGCCTCCTGAACAACGACACACAATGCCCACCATCAACAAAAAAGAACGAAAGCGATACCAGGGAAATGGGGGGGGGCAAAAACGAAGACGACGAACAATATTTTACCCTGGGCTTGGACGGAGGCGAAGCCGAAGCACAGAATGACGGCAAAAGCCAAGAAGACGCTGGCGATGATGCTCTTCATGGTTTTGGATTAAAGACAAGCTAGTTCAAGTCGCTGGAAAGAAGCAAAAGACAATCTGCGCTGTACTGAGGCTCTATTGGCTCAACCATACTCAGCGAAAGGCCCATTTCTTAGTTTGTGCACAAGGTGAGCTGCTGGCACACGGCGTGCGGCTCGGCGTACTCGAGGAAGTGGAGAGCGATCGTGACGTAGCCGCTGACCAACTGCCGACAATCGCCGGCAGCGGGGGTAAGGCGGCACAGGCCCTCCAGGTAGGCCTCAAGTTGAGCCACGCCCATCGGGTTCTGCTTGAGCCAGGCCGCGAGCGAGCCCACAGCCATCGTGCAGAAGACGCACATCTCCTGCTCCGTAGCCTCCACCTTCTGGAGTATCATCTTACTGCCATGTTGGCCTTGGCTCGGATCTATAATATGCAACAAAATTATATGTTTGATAGTGAATGTTAGTGAACTGAACAGTTGAAAGTGTAGACCTACAACTTGGGCAACGTACGGTGAGGGCGGGCCATGTGATGATTGATGACGGCGGGATCGGCCGTAGCCGGCGTGCAGAGGCCCAGCTGAGCGCAGGCGCTGGCGGGCGACTCGTACTTGGCGATGTAGCTGATGATCAGCGGGGCGTAGTAGTCCACGAACGCGTCGCACTGAGCGCGGAACGGGGCCGGCGAGAGGGCGCACGCCACCTCGAGCTGCTTCGTGATCTGGGCCTGCGTGTAGTTTTGCTGCAGGTAGCCATCAATGTACTTGACCGCCACCTCGCACAGCGCGCAATCGCCTGGCCCACACCAGGGAAAACAAGAACATCAAACAAGATCAACTTCATGAAACATGTTTCAAGCGACAACTGAATGAATCATAGTGAGATACCCTGGGCTCGGACGTGGGCGAAGCAGCCGACGAAGAGAAGAAAGATGGCGAGGGAGAGGACGTGGGTGGACTTCATGTATGAATCGTACTTCTTCGAGTGAATGAGACCAACTCCTCCTTCTGGCCTTTGTCTGTGGCTGGGTGGTGATAGGGGTGACAGGCGGTGGGCCAAGAAATGGTGTGGTGGCGGCACAATCGGGGAAAACTCGGCCGTTGGTCTGTCCTTTACTCGGAACGCACCAATCAAAACGATCTAGTGCTACCGTGCAACCACATAGCGGGGGCGGTTCGAATCCCGCTGGTGGAGCAGATGGCCATGCAGCGGAGGTCAATAGTAGTAGTCGAAGACGATGGGTCCGTTGGTGCCTGGGTTGGCCGCGTTGATGAAGGTGGTGCCGTTGCTCGCTTCCACCCCGCCCCGATGCACGTGGCCGAACACATGCACGGTTGGTCGAATCTGCGCCACGCGGTCGCGAAGCCGAGCGCTGCCGCGATGCTTCACCAGCCGCACTGTGTCGAGCACGCCTCGCGGGGGCAGGTGCGTCACCAGCACGTCCACGCCCCGCCGGCCGCCGCCATCGCTTTCTCTTTCGTTTTCGCTTTCGCTTTCGTTCTTTTCTTCGCCCGGGAAGAGCCGCGGGTGGTCCCACGGGAAGAGCTCCGGCTCGGCGGAGGTGTTGTCCCGGTGTTTCTTTTCCCAGGACGAGAGGAAGATGGTGAGCCCGCCAAACTCCTCGAGGGTGACGCAGCCATGGGTGACGTAGGTCCCGTTCGTCAGCAGGCCCGCGTAGCGGCTGTGGCTCCGCACGTCACCGCACACTCGCTCGTGGTTGCCTGCACACCCACCCACCCACACACGCACACACACGAGAGAATGTTATATAATGTGAACTACAGTCGTGTGCGTGTGCGGTGGCGCGCGTGCGTGTGTCATACCGCTGATGATGAACTTGTGGCGGTAGTGGAGCGTGCCGAGCCACTCGTTGAACTCGAGGGCGTGCTCCACCCGGCCGAGACTGGTGAAGTCGCCCGCGTGCAGCAGGATGTGGTCATCTGTGCGGCAGGGAAACGCCAACCATCGTGCGTGCCCACATGGTTGTCAGTCACAATCTTGTGTCCGTCATCGCGCACAGCGCTGAAGCTGAAGCTGAAGCTGTAGTGTCGTTGGATGGAGGCACGGACCGCCCTGAGGCATGAACGGGGTGAGGAAGGCGTGCTTCATGTGCGTGTCGGACAGGCACACGATCCGCACCCGCCGAGTGCCGGCGCCGAAGGCCCCGCGACGCTGCTCGAAGGCCGGAATGGCGAGCAGGCGGGCCGGGCCGGGTGCGCGCCCACCCAAGCTGAGGAGTGACCGGAGGCCCCGGTCCGCGTAGGGCACCACCGTCGTCTGGCCGCAGCTCCTCGCGCCCTCGATGTCCATCGCAACCTCTTCTTCGTCCAGATTGTGTTGTGGTTGCAGTTCTTCTTCTTCATCATCGCCAGACGACGAGAACTCCATGCAGTCGCCATCGTCGTCGTCGTGGCCATGATGATGACCGGCCTGGTAGTGGATGCTATTTTCTGTCGACGGTGGCGAGCGGCTGCGGTGGTGATGGTGGTGGTGATGGCGAGGGCGGTGGTGGGCGAAGGCACAACGGGCGCCCTCTCTGCAGTGGCCCCTCATGAAATACTTGCACGGAGACGAGGGGCTAACGCCGACTGGAGGGGGCGGGCGCCGTGCGTATTGGTCGTGGCGGTAGCGACACTGGTCGCCCGCGCGGCAGAAGCCCTGCGCAAAGTACCTGCACGGCCCTCGCTCTTCCTCCCTATCCATTCTTTTCGTTCAAACACTTATTTTTCTTTCGTTTTTCTCTTTTTAAAATTATACCTGGTCAACATAACAAATAATTTATAAATAAAGAAGATGGACGTGGAGCAGATGCGAGAGGAGGTGGAGCGGCTTCTCCAGCGCTATGCGGACGAGACCACGACAACAGAAGAAGGGGGCCGCCAGGAGCAGCAGGACCACCGGTCGATCGAGGTCGTGGCCGGAGCCACTACGCAGGGGGTGCGCGGTAGGCCGCGGCTGCTGTTTTGCGGGGTGGTCGCCGGCCCCTTCGCCCACGGCCTGCTCCTGCCCCACGAGCCCCCGCCCTCTCCCGTACGCCCCTCGTTTTTAATATTTCCTTTTTATTTATTTTATGTATTTTCTTACGCGATACTCTACCGCAGGTGGAGGTCTACGCGGTGTGCGTGGTGCCGACAGAGAGCCTGCTCACGATCGAGGCCATCGACGTCAACATCAAGGAGTGGACGCTCACCCACAAGCAGGTCCTCTTTTCTCTCTCAACTTCATTGCCATGGACCCCATCACCGTTGTGCTGATCGTCCCAAGACAGGCGGGCTACTCGATTCGCGTCGATGAAATCGCAAAGTTCTGCCACCTGGTGCTCAATGGTACGGTTGGTGCGGTGCATCGGCTCTCCTACGCTTCCGTTCACGCACACCACACACACTCACACACACACACACACACCCACGCCGCACAGCAAACGCAATGGCGGTTGAGACCCTCTACGCCGAAGCTCACTGCTGGCAAAGCGACGAGTGGCGCGATCTCAAAGCCCGGTTCGCCCAACCCCCGTTTCTGTGTGTCGCATTGCGTCGCGTGCGTTGCGTGAGCGTGAGCGTGAGCGTGTGCAGTGGTCTGACTGCTGTGATGACGTCGTCAGGTATCGGGACCAGTTGATCACGGACAACACGATCACCAAGCTCCTGGGTCCCGCCAAGGTGCGCTTCCTGAGGAGCGGCCAGTCGGTCGTGACTGACTGAAGCGATACGCGTGCCAGGACCACCTGACCAAGAAGGAGAAGCGGCGCAAGCAGAAGGAGAAGCAGCAGCGAAGGAAAGAGGAGGCCGAGCGCAAGCAAAAGGCCAAAGCGTCCAAGGTCTCTCCGCTGTTCGCTACCACCACGAACCCTGTAATGTCGCGCGTGTGTCGCGCTGTGTGCGTCGTGTTGTGTTGACTGACAGACACTACTCTTTTTATTTTTACTATTATTTCTATTATCTATTAATTCTGTATTTTTTTTTCTTTGCGCAGCAGACGAAGGATCGATCGGAGGAGAGGCAGCAGGAGCTCGCCAAGATCGAGGAGACGATGCGCCTGCGCGCCGAGCAACGGCGCAAGAAGGCCGAGGAGCGCAAGGAGCGCGAGCTGGCCAAGCAGGCCTCCGGCGCCGGCACCACCGCCGAGACCACCACTCTCCCTGGTTCGCCCATCCTGGTTCCCCCATTACCGTAGACTCGACGTCCTGACACGACACACGACACACGACACACGACACACGACACACGACACACGACACACGACACACGACACACAGTGACGGCGGCACCGAGAGGCGAGGAGCCGTACAATCACGTCCGGCTGATCTTCCAGGCGAACCGTATCCTGGCTGGGCGCGACCTGGTGCTCGACCTGGAGGGCGACCCGGCCGCCCAGGCCGAGCGAGACCTGCTGCTCGCGATTCGCCGGAAAAGCTTCAAGTCCGGCCCGGACGACGACGACAAGAACGAAAGCGAAGAAGAAGAAGACGAAAGCGAAGCGAGGAAGAAAAAGAACGAAGACGAAGACGATGTCGAAAAGATCGATGAAGAGGAGTTGATGAGGGAGATGGTGTGCAAGGTCGAGCGCGCGGTGGAGGCCAAGGAGGGCCTCGCGTGGAAGGACGGGGTCGATCGGCCCTACAACGTGCCCAAGACGCTGCTCGACCCGTGGATCGTCGCCCTGCGACGGAAGGGGCGCTTCTTTTGGCTGCACGGCCGCGCGCCCACCGAAGTCTCGAGCGAGTGACCACCGACACACCCCCGGGATCTGCCCACTAACACCACCACCCGGGTCCGAGGAGTGGAGTGGAGTTGTTCCACATATCATATATTTTATAGTGCAATAGAGAAGATCGCCTACACATGGTTACAGCGAATGGCGGCGGAGTGAACTATTTCTGCGCCGGAGATTGGTTGCCCTGAGCTCTGGGGCTTTGGTGTTTGAGTTTGCGGGCGCGTGATACGCCCACACACCAGGTGGCGGAGTTGCGCCACACATTGCTATTAACACCCCATGGGGTCCGCTACACAAATAGCCAGCCACTACCCAGCCCGGCCATCAACTACAAAAAGGGCGAAAAGCTTAGCTCACAACACAACACACAACACAGCACGATGGCCGGCCAACAACAGCTGACGGAGGTGATGGAAGACGGCACGGTGCGATCGCCGAGGTGGCGACAAGAGGTCTGGAATCGGCAGCAGCACCTCCTCACACTCAACTTTGCAGAGCGCATGGTGGCCTACGAGGAAGTCGATGAACAAGACGATGAGCAAGAAGCTTCGGACAGGTTCGCTGCCTGCACGCCACAAGCCACAACCCCGCGGAGTCCAACGTCGAGCCCACGAGACATAAAGAAGACGACGAAGAAGAAGCGAACGCCACTACGGATGAAGGATGTGATGGGTCGGCCATCGAACAAGAAGAGCGCACGGGACCAGGACGAGGAGGCGAGGGACCGGCGCCTCCGGCGGGAGGCCGACGTGGAGGCGAAGGCCGACCGGATCATGGGGCAGGTGCTGGCCTACGCCCGGCTGCACCACGTGTGGCGAGCCTCCCTGCCGGCGCAGCCGGAGCGAGAGGCTTGATTGGTCTCCACAACATAAAAAGTCGACCGTGGAAGATGTTTACCGCAAATAAGCTCAAAATATATTTATTTAAGGCGGCTTCCGCCAGTAGCGCCATTGGCCACTGAATCGGATTTTTGTAGACTGATGGCGCAACACTGCGTCACAACGGGAAATGGAGAAGAAACTAGTTTTGTTCATCCTCGCTGAAGATCTAGATTGGTGTGTTGCGCGGTGTAAAGCAGGCTGTGATGCCATTTCTTAAGTCGCGATGGTAGGGGGGTCCTGTGGCCATGTACAAGTGAGATTCGGTATGTAGATTTGTCAATGTTTGATTGAAATTGAAGTACCTTGGCATGGGCTTTTTGATGGTGTGTGGTTGGTGGTGATGTCGCATATGGGCGAGGACGAGGTCGCGGTCACACAGGGGAANCGCAGATGGTGTACATGGAGCTGGCACCTTGGTGGAGGACGTGCACACGGCCAATGGTCCCTACACAGAGGTATGTGAGACCATGTGCGAGACAGTGGT